CAGAGGTATGTAGGGGGTGAGAGGATTCACCAGAGACAGAGTGGAGAACAGAACAGGCAGATCTACTGAAATACACTGCTGAGGGGAGCAGTGGGTGAGACAGGAGAGGTCTGCTGCGCCATGTGGGTAACTCCCTGGCTGGGGATTGAACTAGTGCTGCAGTGGCTGCGGATAGCTTCATAGTGCTGTGTCTTAACCCTTGGCGCCACCAGGAGAGCCCTCCAACCCCCCCCCCCGCCCGAGAATTTAAACACAAGAAGACACTCTGGGCCAGTCCAAACTCAGGGAAGGCAGAACTGTGGATTGTGATGACTAGGAATTACCCTAGACTATGCCTATTTATCTCCCTCTTGTATAATTTTTTAAGTTTAACATTCGGCTTACAACACTGTATATGATTCAGAAATATAGGATCCCACCTCTTCAGGTGCATGGTACTGCACCACACCCACTGGCAAGGCACCCATAATCTTCCACCAAAGTCCAATGGGCCTTCTCCCATTTTCTTCTTTGCCCTCACCCTCCCCCTTTAGTAAAAGGACATATTCTTGCCTTGCAAATCCTATTATCTAAGGTGGTTTCAGTAGAAAACATTCTGATGTATGGTCTGCATACTGAGAGACCACATGCCCTGACTTTTACTTGGGGAAAATTTGCTGCCTTATTGAGGCGTGACATTCCTAGTGAATTTGTTCTTAAAAGGAAACCACATTCCTCCCTTGATCTAACGAAGTGTTTAGAACTTGACAGTCCTTAGTGCAAAGTTATTTCTCATAGCTACTCCAAAGTCTACCTGCTAACATTTAAAAACTAGAATTCATTTTCGATGACGTGTCTCAGAAGAAAGGAGCAACTTCTTGCAAGCCTACATTTTAGGGCCCATTTAGGGTTCCTACTTCCTGGTCATCCTTTGCATCTGGCTTTGGTTTAAATGAATTCCTGCTTCCTGAGCATCAATACTAACTCCACCGTTATAAAGATAGCCAGGGCTGGGTAAGGTGACCAGGAGAAAGTTGATTTAGTCTTTGACACTGGACATGGATAATCCATCAAAGTTTATTATGGTTTGGCTTGAGCAGAATGGAGAACCAAGAGCCTCATTTCCTCTTGTTCTTTTCTCTGCGGAAAAGGAGGAACAGCTGGCTCTCCTTGTAAGAACTCAGCCTCACCCAAGCTTTGTATCCAGCACATTCTTGGAGGAGTCTGTCCCAGACCTTCTTAGCTCAAAGTGAGCTCACTTCACCCAAACTGCTAGACAATCTTTATTCAGTATTGTTCATGGGACAATTCATCACACTTCCCTGTGCTTGCTAGCATGGAACACGCCCATCACTTATCACTTTATCATTGCTGAATTGTCACAATAATAGGAATAATGACAACTCACATATTTTATGCACTGTATCCTGTGCCAATGATGCTTTTAGCATTGTCTTAGTTCTCCCAAACACCATGAGGTGGATGCTATTAGGATCCACATTTTATAAAAAAAAAAAAAAACCTAAAATAAAAAGAGGTTTCGAAAAACAAAGTAATTTGCCCAAGGTAACAGAGTTAGTCTAATCTTGATCCCCAGTTTTTCTGACTCCAGTAGCTACTTCTTAATGCCCACAAAACTGTCACAACTGATTGACAGTGAAAATAACCTAGTCTTCTCCATATCTGCTTCCCTACATTCCTGCCATCCTGTGCTCCTCGCTCATGTATGCATCTTCCCCACAGGTCATGCCTCACCCCTGCTGTGCTTACCAGTCTATATAGCAAACATATCGTTCAAGAAAAAAAAAGGGAAAATCTAAACCCAACAGTCCATTCGAGTGTAACCAGAGAGCAGAGAGTAGTGGCATGTCTATTTTGGCATTTTCATTATTGAAGCAAAACAGCTGTGTTTATTTTCATATAGACACTTGCAGATGTGGGTACACATGGGGTGAGCTTGCTTCACTCAACTTGGGACCACCAAGTCAAATATGTGCCTAGGATTGTTTTCACATTCTCAGTTACACTCTGAGTCTCTGAAGTGAGAAAGCCCATCTTCGTTCTAAAAATCATCCTAAATAGAAGGCTGGGGGATGGAAGGTCCAGAAACATGGGTAAGAGGAGAAATGATTTTTGAAAGCTTTGACTGATTCTGGGCTCAATTCATATCCGAGCAATTATGTTTCAAACTAAGACCACAGACGTAGAGAAGAACAGCCAGCAGCCCCCTTGAGCCCAACACTGGAAAGGAGGAATCAGGGAATATCCTGCTCTTCAGAAAGGTGTTTAAGAATAACAGCACAGGATGAGAAATGGGGCCCTAGAGACCTCAGAAGAGGAATGATAACAGCAGGAAGATCAAGACCATCACCTTACTCTTTCCTCTGACCTAAAACCTCTCTCTCTCTCTCTCACACCTCACTATAGTATGAAGAACACAGACATTACTATGAACACAATCATGTAACAGTGTGTCCCCCAAATTCATATCTTAAAGCCCTACTCCTCATATGATGGTAGCCTGGAGATGGGACCCTTTGCAGGGTCATTGGGTTTGGTCATGAAGGTGGGACCCTTAGGATGGCATTAGCAAACTTACAAGAAGGGCACTGGCGTCTGCTGGAAGAGAGCCCCCACCAGGTGTTACACCTGCCTACACCGGGACCTCAGACTCACCAGTTTTCAGAACAGCAAGAAATAAATGTCCACTGGTTAAGCCAACCAGTCTGTTGTATTTGTTACAGCAGCCTGAGCAACTAACACCAATGTCTAAGTCATACAGGAGTGCAAATTCCAACTCTACTGTTTTTAGCTGCATGGTTCCTGAACATGCAGGTGACAAAGGTGTGCTGGTGACAATGTTCCTCAAATGACTACGAGGGGGGGGCCTAGTATGTGGATGTAGGTGAAGGGTACCCATGCATTTTCCAGCACTGCCATCCACATTAGCTTCCTTTTCCCCATCCACAGTCAGAGCTAGAATCTGGGATGTGCCACACCCTATTAGCTGATCTTTTAAAATTCACCCCATAGATGTATTTTGTTGGCCTGTGCCAATGTATTTTGTTGGCCTACACCAATGTTTGGAGAAACGTGGATTACTTACCAACACAAAAGATCAGGAAATTTTACATAAAAACCCAGCTTCCAGTTCTTCTTGAGAAATACAATAAATTCTGTGTTCTGCCAGGGTAATCCTCCTTGGTTGGCTCTGTTGTCAACCACCCAGGCCAGGCCCACCCATTTAGAAGACTTGCTTGGAACCTGCAGGCTTCTGAGTTAGCAGCCCCTGGGTTCACAAGGCTGGGGAAATCTGGCATGGACAGTCCTTTCCTAACAGCACAGAACAAAGATTTTTAAGGTAGTTTCAGGATTAGTTTCCTGAAGTGAGGAACAATTTGCACTTTCCGGACTCACTGTTTTATTTATTTTTACTTCATTGCGAGTGAAAGAAATCTTATGCAGGACAGAATCTCAGTTCTTGGAGTAAAACTGAGCTCTTGCAACTCAAGGATTGGCCAACCCCTCTTTGCCCCTGTCACTCAACCTCTCGAGGCCTCAGTTTCTTACTCTGTACAAGAAGGCTTTGGGTTAGATGATCCCTATTGTCTCTTCCCATATCTGTTTAAACATTATGTGAAATTCAAGTGCAGGGGTAGAAATTCAACACAACTGTGTTTACTTCTGAGCCCTAAAGATTTTAATGAAAGCAGAGCTCTTAAAACACCTCATTGACTGTTAATACAGGTCTTAACTAAATGTAAACAGAATCCACATAATGGCCTTGTTTATTGTTCTGCCCATTCCAGGGCTGGGCCTTTTGCCTTGATGTTCTCCACTTAACACACCAGTGAGGAATGAACACCAGGGCATTAAATGACCTGATGTTCAACCTCCTGTCCCCAGGAGACCCTTTGCTTGGAGTGCTGCCTGCCTCTCTGCCCTCATTTCATCAAAATACATGCCCATCCACACCAACACCCAGGCCCTGGAGCTCTATACATATGGTGTCTTGCTCATAGTCCCCCCGAACATTTGCACCTACAGTTTCCACCACTTAGTGTCTTCTTCACATAATTACTTCCCACTGGTCCTTCTGATGTACCATTCCTGGCCTCCTTGGAGAGAATAAGTCACGCTAAAATATATTTTCATGCTGCCAGCTATGTGGTAGTGGCTGTCCCAGTTGCACTTCACATTTTACATGTATCATTAGTTGATTGATATCATCACCCCAACAGAATATAAATTCCAGGAGGGCAGAGTCTATGTCTGTCTTGGCTCATTGTCATCTCTCCAGTACCTAGCCACGTGGGAGACAATCAGATATTTGTTACAGATTAATGTATGAAAAGCTGACACAACCCTACTGGGAAGATTCTGGAAGACATTAAACTCCCTAAAAACCATGTCTAATTGAGGGTTGCAGTCTCAAAATCTAATGGTAATGGCAACACAACGCTGCTAGTGATAGAGCTATTAGTACCAAGTACTTAGCATGTTTCAAACTTGGCCTAAGAGATTCCTTGTGTCATACCCAGTTTCCACAAGAATCCTATGGAATTAGGTGCATTTACCCTCTCTGTTTTCAAATAAGAGGAAACCAAATCACAAAGAAGTTGATAAGTCATTTAGTAAAAAGGAGAACAATAAAATCCCATATGGTCTGGTTCCAACCCCAAGCTACCTTGCTTTATATGCTGCCTAATAGTTAAACGGGGTACAGTAAATGTTTACAGAATCCATGAGCTACCAGGTAGCCACCCTGCACCATTGGTGCCCCCTCCTCTGCCACACACATTCTATATACATGAACAATGGATGAATCCTCTTTGGAAAAGAGGTCTAGACAAGATAAGGGTCTCAAAACTTAACAACAGCCATAAAAGCGACATAAATGCCAACAGAAGAAGCAAGGAGAACCAAGTAGGAAAAAAATCCTTACGATAAAGCCGCTGGTGGGGTAGCCCCCTGTGCCCCAGCTCAGTGGGAAACAGTCCCTGGCCTGGCCAGACACGTACCTGATGTTTTCGTTCAGTGCATAGAGCTCATTGCTTTGTAGACCGCCCCCTTTGAAGACGTTGATCACGGCCGACTGGACACTGTGGGGAAATAGAAATGACTCCTTGTTAGAGGATCTGCCTCCTGGGGCCATCTCAACAAATAGCTCAGGGCTGAAGGCAGGTGGGGGGGCCAGGAAGCCTGTGGCACAAACACAGCCACGATTTCCATCCATGGAATTCTTCACATCCTCCCCAGGGTCCTTGGGGAGGAAGGAAGACAAAAGGACCCTCAAGTAACCCCTCTCCCTCCACTTTCTTGCAAGCAAGCTGTCTTCCTCCCTGGCCTTGCTGGCAGCTGGAGAGCGGCAATAACAAAGGCAGGCAGTGGGATCTGGTCTTAGGAAATGGTGTGGCCAGCACCACTGGGCCCGGAGAACCCAAATGGTGCTGACTACAAGCAGCTGCTGGCCTGTGACTGAAGTTCTTTCACCTGGGAGCTCCTGTCTTTACTGGTAGCCTGGAGGCCTGGGGCTAGTAGGAAATAATTCACTGCCCTTTTAATAGTTTCCTTGGAAGAACTTCACAGAAGCTGGTCTCATTTACCTCTTTAACTCCCACTCCTGGAGGTGTACAGGCAAGTAGGGTCAGCCCCTGGAGAAGTCACAGCTTAAATCTATGATTTCTGGAACCCCAGCCCAAAACTTCAGCAAGCCACTGATTACACTCTTATCTTTATCAAGGGTCCTGGGTCTTTTCTAAAGAACAAGGATTGGGCCTCCCTGGTGTCACAAGGAGAGAAGCACAGCACTGTGAAGCTGTCTGCAGCCTCTGCAGCACGAGTTCGATCCTCGGCCAGCCAGGGAGCAACACACATGGCATGGCAGACCTCTCCTGTCTGGCCTGCTGCTCCCAACAGCAGTGTATTTCAGTCAGTCTGCCTGTTCTGTTCCCCACTCTGTCTTTGGTGAATCCTCTCACACCTCCTCCCCCCAAGGCTCTGGCCTGTACCCCAGTTCTTTTATGCATAAATAAATAAATCTTTAAAAAAAAGAACAAGGATTAATTTAACACCAGAACATTTCAGAGTCCTCTGCCCATCCCCATCAGGAGTGGTGCGTTCATGTCACTGAGAAAATTCAAATGACCCAAACTATAAAGAATTCTGTGATGCTTTGAAATGATGTATCTAATTTATCCAGAGAGTAACTGCATAGATTTGAAAAATAATAGTAGCCCACAGCAGTGCCAGACTTAGCATTAATTCAGTCTCAGCTCAATGCTAAGTATAAAAAGGTCAGCTGGACTCCTCACAAAAACTGTGTCTCCTCTTCCAACCTCTTCGGCTCACAGGTACTACTAACCTCTGGTTTGGGCCAGCTTTTTTTAGCTTTTCGCAAATACATGTCTTATCTTCCCCAGTAGGTAATAGGTTACTTGAGATTACTTACATGGCCACACTCTGGGGTAATCTGGTAGTCTGGGGTATGATTAATGAGCATGAACAGTAACTGTGAGGTCCACTCCACCCATCCTGGTCAGTTCACTGCCTCTGATAGCTCAGAGACCCCCGTGATCAACTTTCCTCTACTAAATATTAGAAAGGCTGATGGATACATCCTCGCTGTCATCATCAATTGTCCCTCTATCAGGACCTTATGAAGCAGACATCCCAGAGGAATAGAACTAAGCCCGTCCCTGGCCCCTGGGAGCCCTCCCCTCAATAGCCAGCACCTCCTTTACCTGTTCCAGGCCGAGTTGGAGCTCAGCTGCAAAGCCTGCCGGGTGGCTTGAAATCGGGGCAGATCACTGAGCACCGGGGAGCTCATGAAGCGAGGTCTGGGCCTGCGGAAGGAGCCCATCTTGTGGAACTCGACAGGCAGGCTGGGAGAGAAGCCGCGGGTCATAAGTCCGGGTGACGGGGCAGTTTCTCCTCTTGATCCAACTGCCCATACACAGGGCTTCTCCCAAGAGTACTTTCTGGCCCTCTGGCTTTCTTAAAATCACAAGTTTAGCCAACACCTGAAAAGAGAGAACAGCTTGTATTGAAAACAAGACTGAACAGACCACATCTCAGAAGAAATTGGCTGAGACTAACCTAAGAAAGACTTTAGGATAGTTAACAGGTCTCTTTCTTGATTATGACAGTGTGGCCACCCCAAAAGTGGGAGGGCAGTAGCAAGGGGACCAGGGTGAGGTCAGTCCTACAGAAAAGTGATTTCTAAGCTCTGCTGGACTGTGGCTCTTAGGCATGCCAGCAAAGTTTGGGAAGTGGCTGGGTTTCTGTCAACCCCACAAAACTGTGCAATAAGAGACAGCTTTTTAAAAAGATGCCTCAAGACCACAAGAATTTCTTGTCAAGGCACAGAAGACCTTCCATGCCACGCCCTGACCATGCCAACTTGTGTCCATCAGGGAAGCTTAACAATAGAGACACATCCTGAAGATGTCATTAGGTGATTTCATCAGTGTGTGATGGTCACAGAGGATAATTATGCAAACTTAAGATGGCAAGGCCTACTGCATACCCAGGACCGTATTTCCTAAAGTATCAGTAGTTCTTCACTCAGGCATCGCTCACCATTCCTACCTGCTGTGCATATTAATTCCATCAGAACCTATTTGTTGAGTGCTTGCTATTTATTCACCATTTATTAAGGATTTAAGACCTACTCCTTGCCCTCAAGAGCCCTATGGGCTACCTAGAAGTAACTGTCAGTTTGTGTATTCACCCACACTAAACATTCAGTGAGCACTTACTATGCACCAGGCACTCATTTAGGTACTGGAGACACATGGCGGCCCAGCTACCTGCCTGTGGAGCTGATAACCAGCAGGCCTATCCCTCTCTCAGGCTTTCTGACTGTATCTAAGCTCCTCTTGCCCAGAATTCCCTTCCTTTTCCTCTCCGCTTATCTAAATCCAACTCATCCTGCAGGGTTGAGTTCAAGGTTACTGTCCTCTGAGCAGTTCTTAGGAGGCTTTATGGCTTCATGGTTGAAGGCAGTGGCTTTGCAATGAACATGGGTTCCAGTCTTAATGAGGGCACTCCCAAGTGTGGAGACTTAGGGCACCGGAGTCTGAAAGCAGGGCTGGGGAGAGGTGGAGTGAGCCGTGGGGCCCGCCCAGCAGGGCAGCAGAGCCACGTCCGCCAGCCTCAACTATCTCCATGTAGACCAATCTCTTCCTTCCTTAGCACCTCCAGACCTGCCTTTTCCACATTTAGAGTCCTTAGTGAATCTAAATCTAAATCGATGACTTAAATTGAGTTGTGAAGCTGGTCAGTGCAAAGGACAAAAGGAACCACCACTGAGGCTAATCACTTTTTTCCTCAAGAGTTTAGGGTTTAGGCCAGAGATAGACTCTTACCACTAACTCTGCGAAATCCCAGAAAACAGTGCTGAAAGGAAAAGACAGGTTCCAGCCATTCATGTCAACCTTCAGGATAGCAGGGAATAAGCTTTGCGGTCCCCACTGCAGCCACCTCCAAATTAAACACAGGAATGAGGCTCCTTCTTAGGACAGGGCCCAAGGCCATCCAGGAGAGGGTGTGGGAGGTGCTTAGCAGCTGTCCAGAACAATGGCACAGTGACAGGGAACTTGGAAGACCGAGGGCCAAAAAAGGAACAGCTTGTCCCACCTCTTACACTTTTTCTTCAAGGAAAGCAAACTTGTGTGCCTTTTTCCTTTTCAGTCATCTGCCCTTTCACCCCAAACTTAGAAAGAGCTAACAGGGAGAGAAGTGTGTCCACATATGCCCGGGGAAGTCACAATAATCCTGCTCAATTTCAGAGGGTCCCGATAACTCCACAAGTGCCCCTGGAATTCATAAAGGTCGATGCCAATCAATGAATGAGGCCAAGAAGTCAGAAAACCACGGAAGCCCCTTACCATCCTTAAACTGCTGGCTTTGGGATTTATCTTGCTCAGTAAAGGTTACACCATTCAGACACATCCATTCCACTGCCCTTCTTCAAACGGGCCTGCTAAGTACAATTCAGCTGGGTAATAACAGGATATTAACTCCTTTTACGAGGATCTTAAACTCGAGGTGATGGAGCTGTTGCCCACTCGATGGCACTTGTACAGGGAAGCAGAAAGGATCATTCCAGGTATTTACCCTCCGGCTTCCGGCAGGAACAATCACTCCAGGGGAGGAAGCCATGTGGCACAGAGGATCCTGACACCTTGACTTCTCAGTTAGCACCCCCACTCCAAGCTGTGTGTGCAGCCAGCCAGGTCTAGCCCCACCCCATGCGGCCCTTTTTAAATCAGGGTCATGTTCAGTCCAAAGGACCGTGACTAGGCCTCCCTGGTGGCGCAAGGGGTTAAGATGCAACCTATGAAGCAATCCACAGTCACTGCAACACGAGTTCAATCCCCGGCCAGGGAGCAACCCATATGGCGCAGCAGACATTTCCTGACTCACACACTGCTCCCCTCAGCACTGTATGTATTTCAGTCAATCTGCCTGTTCTGTTCCCTACTCTGTCTCTGGCGGATCCTCCAACCCCCACACCTCTGGCCTGTGCCCCAGTTCTTGTATAAATAAATAAATAAATAAATCTTTAAATAAAATAAATAAATAAATCTTTAAAGAAAAAAAAAAAAAGGACCATGACTGCAGCTCTTGCGGGCTCTTACCAGCCACAGGGTAACACACCACAAGAAGCTGCATCTCACTCCATTTTTTTCCGCCACCTTCAGAGCGCAACAAGCTGAAGACAATCCAAAACTGTCCTTGTCACCACCAGTCCTACTGGTGAGGGGAAGCCCTTGAAGGTGCTAACAGAGAGGCCCAAAGGGAAAAGTGGATGCACCCTACATGCACCTGCTGTAGTCCTGGCCCCTCCAGCACACCCTTGTCCTGACCTACATATGATAAGTCAGAAAAGGGTAAGATGGAACCCCCAGACGTGCCAATGCAGGTCCCTGTTAACAGGGGATGAAAGTGAAGTCCATGAGGACAGGGACGCTTGCCCGGTGACTTTGAAGTAGGAAACACTAGGCCACTCTGCAAACTCCTGGAAGTCAGGCGTGGAGGCTTACGGATGTCTATATCCTCAAGCCTCAGCCTGCTGCTTAAGATAAAGATGAAGGCAAGGATAGGAACTAAACCAGCATCAGCTGCCTCCTGTCATGGTGCCAAGCACTGTCACAGCAGATAAGCTTGCTCAACCCTCAGAAAACCCCATTGGAAGATCAGAGAAGTTAAGTAACCTGCCAGAGGTCACACAGCTAATAAATGACAAATTACTGACTGGTGCCTACATGGGCCTAATTCCACAGTCCACCCCCCTTATCATCCTACCAAATTGGGTCAGAATCAAAGTTATTAAGTTAGTCAGGAACATCCAGTTATGAGATTTCATATATTTAAGTCTCATGCCCTTAAGATAGATAAATTGACATAAAGAATTCCATGGCCAAGGCCTCCCCGGTGGCGCAGCGGTTGAGCGCTGGGTTGCGAAGCTGCCCGCGGCCTCTGCGGTGCCGGTTCGATACCCGGCTGCTCCCCGGCCACTGGAGGAGGGTCCCACATGGCGCGCAGACCTCTCCTGCCACCCGCTGCTCCCCTCAGCAGTGTGCTTCGGTCCTTCTGCCTGCTCTGCTCCCCGCTCTGGCTCTGGTGAATTCTCTCACCCTCCTGTGCTTCTGACTGTACCCAGTGCATGTATAAACAAAACAAAACAAACAAACGAACAAATAAATAAATAAAAAACATGCCTCTATTAAAAAAAAAAATTAAAAAAAAAAAGTTTAAGAATTCCATGGCCACATTAAGTAAGGACCAGAGAAGCAATGAGAAGGGATAAAAGGAGAAAGCACAGAACATCTTGCGTAGACCTCCTTCTCCTTTCTAGCTGTGTGATCTTGGGCAAATTACTTGACCTCGTTGAGGCTTAATTCTCTCCTACATGAAACAAGATGCTAATGTGGAGTGCCTCAGGGTTGTATGAGGATAAAATGAGAACATATTTGTCAAGCACTTATAAAGTACAGTGCCTTGGCAAACAGCAAATGCTATGTAAGAGCTTGCTAAATAAATAAAATAACTTGTTATTTCAAACTCTCAGTAATGACAGCAGTGGGACTACCGCAATCCTTTACCCTGCTTCTGGCAACCTCAGCAACATCTGGAAAAGCCCCCACCCTGGTGATGGCAAAGCCTCTGAGCCCCCAAAGTGGTCACAATATATTGGGCCTTGTCTCTTCTGGCTTTTGGTAACTTGTGACCCTGTTTTCTGACCCTTCACCTCTGTGTAGCATATTCTTCAGTTAACTGCTTTCCCACACATCATCACACTTCCACAGCTTACCTTAACCCCACATGGAAGGAGAGTAGAGATTCTGTCAGATTAGGAAGCTGAAGCCCAAGCAGCTGTGACTTGGCCAAGGCTGGAAAGCTGTCAGGTCAGGAAACCAGACCTGGCACTAAGTTTCTAACCTCAAAGCCGAGTCAGCTATGGGCGCCCTGCCAAGCAATTCTTTTTTTCCCTATATGTTTTCAAATATTTTCATTATGCAACATGCTTAAAAAGGAGTATATACATACACATAAACACACACATCTTAAATAAAGATAATAAGCTATTGCCTGCTGAAGAAATAGCATGTTGTCTTGGCAACTGCCTGTTTCTGATAATAGCAAACTTGCTTATTTATCATAAAAAATGTAAATGTTTGCATAAATCCATACCATGCAAAGCAAAAGGCCTCTTTCTGGCCACTTAAACGTGGAAGAAGCTGTGCCCAGACTCCATGAGAGGACAGAAATATTCTAGCTGTACAATGTGGTAGCCACCAGCTGTATGTGGCCACCGAGAACTGGAAATGTGGCTGGCACAGCTGAGGAACTGAATTTTAATTTAATGTAACTCAATTTTAATTTTTAATAGCCATGCACATGTACGTACATATAATCCTTTAAACAAAAAAAAGGGTATTTTTTCCTTTCTTCATACACCATGGTCATCTTCCCATACCACTGAACATTCATCTGCTTCATTCTTTTTCATAGT